TTCTTCTATTATTTTATATTCAAGTAATATCATCCTGCTATGCAGCATTAGATCTTCGAATTGCCTCTCCTTCCTCCTTCCATGTTAATTTTGGTTTAGTCAGCTTTCGTGTTCGTGCTGCATCTCTTTCTTTCATATGTTGCTCTAATTCCTTCTTCTCTCTTTGATCTTTCAATCTTTCTTCTTCTGACTCTGAACCCCACTATCTTTCATCAGGGGATGTTCGTCTCTTAACTTGTCTCTCCCTTTCCTTTGTTGAAATTACCTTATCATCTTGATCGTCTTGATCTTCAGTTTTCTTCCTAAAATGTTTCTTATACCTTTCTGGACGTAGAAGCAGTAGTCATGGAAGATTTATCTTTTCCACCATAGTCACCAACATTGCAGCTTCTCTCTCTTGTCTCTGATATTGATTTAAGCCCAATGATTTATGATGAAGTCTCGAATAAATTTCTTCAGCAAATGAATGAATATCTGTAGACGAGACCCCAAAATCTGAAAGTTTGCCCACCAAATCGGTTGGCGAAGTAGCTTGCTTGGATAGCCCAATCATGTACAGTACAACTGTGGGCTGAGAATATCCCAGCAGGGACATCAACTTATCCGATACCCATGTCTTTAGACTGTCATCACTCCCCATTTTCAATAGTGTTGAACGGAATGGAATGGAAATGGAAATGGTAGAGGTCTAGGGGCAAAAACAAACTAAACTTGTGAGTCCACGGCTAAAGCTAAGTCACAAAGTCACCAGAGATGAAATGGGAGGGAGCAACAATATTCTCTTCTCAGACTCCTTTGTTTTCTCGTTGAATGCTCTCAGAAGTACCACTAGAAATTTTATTGATTTTTCTCTATTCTCTCCATATCTGTTTCTATATTCAAAACTGTTTAAAAAACCTTCCCAACATCTCCCCTCTGTCCATCCTTACACTCCTAATTTTCTTGCTCGGCGGCGAGGATGGAACTCGACCGGCGGCGAACAAGGCGGTGGACTTCGACCAAACAAGCTCCGACGAACAGCAATAGCGAAATGTGTTGAGGGAGAGAGAACAGAAATAGCGACCAAACTAAAACTTTGTTGTTGGTGTGAGGGACGAAAACAGTGGGTGAGTAGGTCCGTTGCGTTCGGCGAGGAAGAGAGGGCCAACGTGACGTGAGGGAGAGATGCGGCGTTTTGAAGTCAGTGAAATGTCTGGGAGAGAAGTGAGGAACAGTGTTTAAAAACCCGGCTCGGCCATCGACCCGGCCGAGGTCAGGGGTCATGGAGTCACAGATTCAACCGGGGGTCACCGGTCACTATGCTGACCCGATTTTATATATTAAAAATATTTAAATATATATATCATATATAAAAATATTTAAAAACAAACCACTAATTATCAAAGATTCAAAATATACTTAACATAATTCTCTAACTACAACCACAAGTCAATATTACACAACCTAATTAAAGTATCAAGATACCAAAGTACAAAACTCATATTCTAATGGGATCAATACGCTGACCCGGTTCTGCCTCTTTGGAGAAGGTCCCTGACAAAGGAAAATTTAAAGGAAGTAAGAATGAGTTTTCGTTTTCCATCGACGACCGTAAGGATTTCATTTGAATAGGTAAAATTCTTACCTTTTCTAGAAGATTCACGTCTACGAGGTGAAGATTGAAGACATATAGGTCACTGGGAGAGAAGAGAACGCTTAGATTTAGGTTTGCAAGCATTTTTAATTTTATTCTTTTAATAAAACGAAGTTGTTTCATGGAATTTTTTTTTTAAAAAAAATAAACATGCAGTGACCCCCTCTGACCCGGGAGTCACTGAAACTCGGCCGGGTTTTGGAAGTCGGAAGGGTCGATGTGCATATAGGGTCCAACTTGTGACCCCAACCCTCAGAGGGTAGGGGTCAGGGTTAACCCGGGGGGTGGGGTGGGGTTTTAAAACACTGGTGAGGAAGAGCATCTTATTTTATTTTAGAGGGTCTCCCTAAAATTATACATTCCATCTAATTATCTCACATTTATCATGATTAAATCCTTAATCATTTCACAATTTCATAATTAATTCCCTTAATTATTTCATAATTCAAAATTCACATATTAGGGTTATTACAATATTAAACTTATGATTTTAGGATGCTTTGTAAATGTTCATTACATCATTCTAAAATTTCTTAATTTTTTATTCCCATATCAACCTTGTTAATTTTGTTTATATTATTTACTTTTATTATGTGAATATGTTTTTTTTTTTTGTAATATGTGAATATGTTTTTGGCTAAAGCTATTAAAAGGATAAAACACTCATACGTATTTTGTTTCCCCTTCTTATTTATTGTAATTATTATGCTCTCATTGAGTCTTTGTGACTCACCCTTATTTTATTTTATTTTATTTTTCGTAGCATATTTTGGTAGCTGTCTTTTTGGATAGGATATCATTTTTGATCAGACCAATACTATATGGGTTGACAATAGGTATTAAGCCTAATCACACACGGTTGATGAGAGAAGACTTGGAGTTCGGTTATCTACTTTTTTGGAGGTTCTTGGGCTGCTGATGGTTGATGGTTGATGATGGAGGGATTGAAATGATTCTCCTTTGGCGCAACGCCTCCGATTGGGATGAGTACCTGCAATGACACTCTGACGCTTAAGTCAGTATCAAAGCCAGACTTATGTTGTATTCTTACTGAATTGGATGATCATACCTGGGTATGTACACTTTGTTTATATAGTGAATCTGATGCCGTCTTTGGTAGACGATATGCCTTCTGATTGGCTATTTATGGGCTACAGGTTCAGCTGGTGCCTTTCTGGCCTTATCTCTATTATGTCAAGCTATCTGGGTAGAGAGGTGGCAAGTTGGAGCTGTCCTTTGTGTATTGGTTCTGTGACGCGGTAGCTTCTTATTCGTGCTTTATTGATCTATTCCTTAACTCTAAAGTCATGTTTAAAGACGGTTTAGGCATGATGACTTCATCGCGCCCCCTGATTCTTTATGCGCGATGATGATATCCCTCATTGTTCGGGCCTTATGTGTTTGGGCTTTTAATCTTTGAGTTTTAACCATTGGTGAGCCTATTGTATTTTATCCAGATTAATTTTCTTTGTTTATTTTGAAACTCTAAACATTATGTAGCTATAGGGAGTTTCTTAGCGACATCTTTTAGATTTTTTTAGTCCATAAAGTCTGAATTATATATTTTGTTATTATTGTTGTTAGTTGGTAATATATACATTGTCTACCAGGTATTTATTTTTTTTTTTGGAAATATTAGAAATACAGAGGAACTCTGTCAAAATTTCAATAAAATTTGAACTATGAATCTATTGGAATTTTCTCTTGTTTTATGGGTTGTTTGAGAAAGATAGGCTTGCCAAGCTAAGAAAGCTTGAGTTACCTTAGTCTATTCAGGTCGTGAGACTCGTGACAGCCACATGGTAGATATGGCTAGTTAAGCCATAGCACAGGAGCCACACAAGCAGCAGAACAGGGCAGCTAAAGATTTCTAAGACAATTTGTTTTCTATGTTGACTAGAAGCAAATCTGATCATTTTCTCTTCATTCACTTTTTCAAATAGATCAAATCAAGCTACAAGTTCCTTATCCACACAGAAACAAGAACACAAACACTAGAGGAAGAAATGGTTTCTTTCGTAACTCATTCAAATTTCACTCGGTAACCCAAAGAATATGTGTAGAGTAAAGCCTGACCCAGAAAAAGCAGCTAGCCTAACCAGAGAATCTCATATACCCGGCCGAAATTTTTTGTATGATGTATATAGTAATAACTGAATTTTTTTCATCCTCTCATTTATAAGCTGTGAAATTTGAGAGATGAGATATTGCTTATATGATTATTCTAAAATCTATATAATTAACCGTGAAATTCAAAAGTCATATACTGTTTTGTTTTTCAAAGGGGGGTTGTATGTGTTAACCAAGGGAAATAAGTCCCTAGTCCCTGTTCATCCCTTCATTTCCACCCATTATCTTCACCCATACATAACTTCATAGTGCAAGCAACCGGGTAAAGAGATGGGTTTTACAACACAGAATGGAAAATTCAACATGGAATTTTTGAACTCAAAATACTCTTTGTTACTCCCTTCCTCGTACACATAAATTAGTGTCCAGTTTAGACTTCCAATTGTGTTACTTGCTGCAGTCATAATCCTTTCACATGGCATGGGGTATTTTATCTCACATAAAAAAAGATCTTACTTATTGTTTACAACATCACAAACTAACATTGAGAAGATCTATTAAGTGTACATAACATTTCTTAAATAGAAGCTTGCTTCTAATTTGAAGTTTACTTCAAGGGAATACCAACTTTATCAATTAAACATAAAACAAAAGAAAAGGCCAAAAGCCTTATAAAATCCACAATGAAGTGTATATGCTAGGAAACCACCTATTACCAAGGTTTATATTAGGAACAAGCACAGAAAGCAATCAAAGAGAATTGAATGATTATGTAACAGATTGCATGAGGCAATCAAGGGAAATTGAGTGATTTGTGTAACTGTAAAGAACCAATCTTATATATTTCAATAGTAACATATTCCAACTTTCTAGTAAGGCAATCAAGGGGAATCAGGAAGGAAAATTGACCTGTATGGCTATAAGAAAGGAGATAGGGAGAAGATCGAGGCAGAAAAATAAGTAGAGGACACTGAGGGAGAGAGCAAGGTCTCTGAAATACCCTTTATTATCCTTTTACGCCTTCAGTCTTTATCTTTCAATGTAATTCTACCACACCGGTACCAATATTCTCAGAGGAATAATAAGTGTTTTGATTCAGTTTCTAACAGTATACTTCAAGGAATACCAAATCTACCAATTATTTTAAAAAATTGCTCGTTTCTCCAAAAGTCAAATAATTCATAGGATTAAGAAATAATGTGGAAAAACAAATTGTAGAGAATTGATTAAAGATTACAAAGTGGCAACTGCAATTATAATCAGAAATCCATCATAAGGAAGCAATATAGACTCAGACCTTAGGACGAGTAAAACCCTGATCTCGAAATCTATCAATATCAGCACTCTCTCCAAGCCTGGTCAATTTGGCATCATTCTTTTTCACGCAGTCTCTAGTTCTGAAGATGTGATTGAGCTGTACATAGTAGTCTCTAAATCAAAGATGTTCAAAAACTCCATAATTTTATAAAGAATGACAGGAAATCTGCTTACAGAATGCATTATGTATGCATCCATGATGCTTATGTCTTCAAGGCCTTTGAGATAGAATGGTCTCTTGTTACAGTAAAGTATATCCCGGTAGCTGCTGCCTGGAACCAATTTAACATGAAGCCAATACCCATAAAATGATTACAAAAAATCAAGGCTGTAAATATATAATACAGTCATGTGCAAAAAAATGCAAATTGACCCATGCATCCCCTATGACAGCAGACTACATATAACAAAAAACTAATACAATTTAAACGAATACCAACTCAACTTAATGAACCTTGCTGAAACAAGGAACACTTCACAGATACCATCTCAACGATTTAATTAGTGATTATCAGTGGGGATACTCATAAATACAAATAAAGAGCTTAATAAAGAAACGCAAAGTAGCATTTAAAAGGTGCATTTTGAGAAAAATATTTGTATCCGATTTGTTCGATCAACTTGGTTGAATGTAAGAAGAAAACATAGGCTTGTTGATGTTGAAAAACTTCAGACATAATTTAGAACACTCTTAAAATACAAATTTGGGATGACTAGAGAACATTTCAATCTAGTTTGCAACGAAAGCGATGTTGTAAAAGAAATTTTAAAATACAATCCCTAACGTGTTTGACTGAAGAATGAGCAGTATATTTTTAGGGAAAAGTGTTTGTCATTTTAAATAACATAAAGTTACGTCATTTTAAAAGAGAGATAGACACAAAATATTTTTTTTATTTAAAATTTAAATTAAAAAAAAATCATCCACTTTCTCTCTCCTATGATTTCCATTTTTTTGTGTCTATCTCTCTCCTAAAATGACATAACCTATGTCATTTAAAATGACAAACACCAAACCCCTATTTTTATCAATTACTAAACAAAATGAATGTCTCATTTTAAACCTTCTATGCATCCTAAACTGTTATTCAGACTTAAATTCAAGAATGAAGATAGAATCTACAGCCATATCGACACAGGCTAGGGTGCCATATTAATTTTCTTTTAAGACTATATCAATTACAAGGTTTTAACTTTCTTAATTTTGTATCATGCAGGATAAAATAAAACCACTATAAAAAATGGGAAAAGCCATTTGCTTCGTCTTTGTTTCACCTTTTGCTATTTCCCTATATCACCAACACAATTCCCTATTAGACCAGAAGTTATTTTAGAAATTTGAAAGATTTCAGAATATTAGAAAAAAACTGTCTCTTAAACGCATCCGTAGAGAAGTGAACATTCAAGATAAACATCTGAGGAAACTAATGGGGAAGATTTAGGCTTTTAAAGATTGACTAGATGCAAATGAGTAAGGTTAAGAGAGTAACTGATTCATTATAATTTAAAATCAACTTACAAAGGGAGACAAATATCTTTTGTTTAGGTGAATACATATCCTTTCCTCCAGATGTCTTGTAGACATCCATCCAGTGCTTGTACAACTTTTCCTTCAGACTATCACAAGAATTGATATGCAAATCCTAAAACAGAAATCAATAGAGAAAAATGTAATATGTACTTGAGACCTTGAGCAAACTGAAGGATGAACACATCTTTTATAAGCTAATGTAAGATTATGAATTTTTTTGGGTAAAATACTATGGTTTTACTTAATATAAAATTACAAGTTTACAACAAAGCCAAGACATGGATGAAGTCAATGATGAGGAAAAAAATTAACATTAAAGGAAAAATTCTTCGTCAAAGATGCGGATTCATATTTTATTTTCACTACAAGGACAACTAATAAAAGTCTCCAAAAATACATAAACAGCACACGTCATCGACTCAATTTACTATTATCAACTCAAAAAGTAACCTTAAAAAAATAATGGGACGCAAGCAAAAAGTCAACAAGTCCTATTTCAAAACCTAGGGGTAAAGGGCATCAAATTTGACCATGCATTTGCAATATCTACTAGTTTTCCCATCTAACACACAACATTATCTATTTGAAGGAAAGAAACAAACAGAAATGGGATGAAAGACCATCGTTCTGAAACAAAGCAGCCACTTTACTGTGTGCCAAGGTGATAAGAACCTTGGGGTGCACCACCCCAAAAGCTAGCTCAAAGAGTGGGAGTATCCAAAGCCTTATAAACCCCACATTAGTTGCCCATACAACCAATGTGGGACTCCAAGTCCCATACCTTGCAAATGGGATCGTAACATTCCATCATGCTCCGCAGCCCCGGCGCCCACCCGGGCTGGCTTTGCGCTAGTCTTTTATTAGCCCCGTGCAAACACTGCAATGCCGGTGTCATCACCTGCACCGCTCGATTGCAATCGAGAGGCATAGTGGAAGACTCTGATACCATTTGATAAGAACCTTGGGGTGCACCACTCGCGCCGCTCGATTGCAACTGGGAGGCATAATTGCCCATACAACCAATATGGAACTCCAAATCCCATACCTTTCAAATGAGATTGATCGACATTCCTTCATGGCCATTGATCGACATATGGCCACAAAATCGTATTAAATTTTTCACTTTCACGAAGAGGCCACTGAAACATGGAATCTAGGATACACCAAAAGAATATAATAACATGAAATACCTCCAAAATATTCTCTCCAGTTCCTGTCCATTTGCAATTTGATATACCAATAGCTGGTATCTCCCAGATAAATTTCCTGTTCCTTTGGTCGCTAATTTCTTCTTGTGATAAATTATGTTCCAAATGTAAATTAAAAGAGCTGCCCAGAAAAACAATATCAGATTAAAGGATGACAAGAAAAATCAAAATCATATGAGCTATGTATAATGGCTACGTAATACAAAAAATAACAATGTCTAGTAACTAGTTAAAATATATCACGAAACATGCAAGAGGTCAAAATCATATATGGTACAATTATAAGAATATTTAACATGGAAATCAATTATGAAAAAGTTTTTAGTGAAAAAAGTATAAACAAAATCAGAGGAGTTTCCTTTCCAATTGCCACAGAGATTGGAGAGTTTAGGTGCATCTTTTAGCCACTTAGTTCTTTACATATACATAATAAGTTTGATTCCCAATAAATGATAACCGTTGATTTGCGGAAATCAACGGTTGAGATTTGGTGTCAAATTTCAAAGTTTCACACCGGTGTCAAAGGATCCTGCCTATATATATATATATATATATATATATATATATATATGCAAGGATACTTATCCTAGCCCCCTCCATTCAGTTTTTCTCTCTTCTATCTAATGAATTTCTTTTTCATTCCAAAGTAAAAAATAATTAAAACAACAACAAAAGAATTTTAATGTTAACGAACCTCAAATGCACTGAATCCTCAGAAGTTGGTTGATCATTAATTCCAATATCCTCTTCATCTGAACGAGAAAACTCAACATCACCTTCAGTTTCAGAACCTTCTGTCAGTCCAGTATCATTGTCATCTGGATCTTGCCCCATACTTTCCACTACTTTGCTTCTAGCTGAACCGTTGTCAAACCCTAAGAAAGTAAAGAATAACAACATCACCAAAAAGATATACACAATTGAAAAAGTGGTGGAGAGTGCAGAAATCCAACAGTCAGTCAAAGAGTGGCAGAGCATACAATCAGGAACCAAAGATTAAATTTAAATAATCACGGCCTAACAAAAGGGTTTTACTTAAACTTCGATAAAATAAAATAAAATTAAAGTATAACATCTAAGTAAAGTTCCATAAGTAATACGAAAAAAATTATGAATCTGATCATAAACCCATAATGAAGCCAACAAAAATGAATGATGAAAAACCTAAGGAGTAAAACTTTGCTACACATACCAAATTCTTTTCTTCCACATATATATGTACTATTAAAATATGTTAAGTCAAACCTTCAACATCATGGTCATCCTTCAGCATGCTACGAGACTTAGGGACATCAACATTTTTCCCTTTTTTCACCCTTTTGTCATCTTCCATTTTTTTCTCACTTTTACCTTCTTTCCTTTTCCTGAAAAAGGGGGTACAGCAATACAAATTTTTAATTTTTGGAAAAGCCAAGACAAAAAAAAAAAAAAGTTTTTATACTAGCATGATAAAATATTTAATCATGTAAACAAGGTAGTAGATTATCATGGACCAGTGTAACTCAAAGTAGACAACAACAAATCAACATCATCATAACCTTGATCTCAAACTAGTTGGGGTCGGTAAAAGTAGACAAACACACATAAACAGAATTAATAGCATGATTTAAAAAACAACAAAGAATTACCCCATCTGAAAGTGAATAAAAAGCCACAGCCAGAGCAGCATGAAATAGTAGTTTTTGATGAAAGATTTAGGGTGTGATTGGATGAATAGATGATAAGTGAAAAGGACGGAAATAGAGGAGGGGTTGAAAACAGAGTGGGACTGAGAGTGAGAGCTTTTGAATTTGATTCATTCTGAGGTGCTTAGTAGAGCAATGTAAGTAGATAAGAGAAGGTGGACTATATAATAACCACTTTAACCACGAATAAACAATCCAGAGAGCCTTCACAAAGTGAACTGATTAATAAGCAGTCAACTGAAAGTTCTAAAACAAAAGAAGGACAAAAAAGAGTGAATTAAAAAGACAGCATCCATTGCTGTCCAACTACAACAAAACAACCATTACTATTACCTATTCAAGTTAGAAGTAGGACGAGCAGGTTGTGGTGTCTTCATAGTGTTAGAGTTTTGTTTGGATGATTTCCCTGCATAGGGCAATAAAAAGGTTAGAAATAAAAGACACCAACCCAAGTAAAGTGAGGAGGAATTGCTGAGTGAAATTAAAATAGGGACGAATTGGCACCAGCCTTTGTGATTCTACTTTATATAATCCAAATAAAATCAAACTTTTAAAAATAAATTATCAAATATCATTATTCATTACAAAACATAAATCAATTTTTTTCAGAATCAATTCTTTTACGATATAAAGTCACCACAGCAGGGAGGGGATGGGTAGTGTCCCCACCCTGTAGATGAAAAATTGTCCTCGTTTCACACCCTACACCCATGACATGCATGTATCCCTCATTCCATGCAGGGAACTGGATACCTTTGGGGATCCAGAAATACCTAATAAATCATAAAACATTTAAAAAGTTCCCAAAAACGAAATAGAAATCCAAACTAAGTCCAGTATCATAACTTCTAGCAGTTTGTCCAATTATAAGTAAATTAGTTCAACAATTTAAAACACCTGAAATATAAAATAAATAAATAAATAATTCGCAAGATACAAAGTTTTATGATCAAACATTAACATAAACAAGCTACTTAGGACTTGAGGTTTGCTGCTGTCAACATTCTATAAATAAAATACATATGCCTTGTCCAACAACAGAGAACTGAACTTGTGTATGCAGTAACAATAGGTAAATAAATAGTCATGAATTTTAGAAAATGGGGTTGGAGGAGGAGAAAGAAACCATACAACCACATTATAGCAGCCTGCAAAGTGCAAACAGACCCCAAGTTAGGTTCAGCAATCATGCCTCAAGTGAAGTATAGCCAAGCAAAAAATATTGTTTCACAAGCTACACATCAAACGGCGGGAAAACATTATATAAACCTCTCTAAACTATTCAATGAACATCACATGAACCAAAAATATCACTTTGATAATAAGAGTCTGCATTACAGCACCGCTCCACAAACCTAAAGTTAAAAGCACTAAACTGTTAAAATAAACTATTCCTTTCTAATGTTCCAAGTGTTCTCAAAACTCCACAAAGAAAAACACCTATTAGGCATGTGCATTGATTGTACCAATCCAAAAAGTATTTCAAGTACGTATTTTTTTCCGCTGTCAAAGTGTATAACATAATGAAACTTACAATTTCTCAGACCTAATATTTTTAACTTGAAGCATGATACTTGAAATATTGGAAACCATTACCTGGTGCTTCGTATCGTGGTTGGTAATGGTAAACCCTAAACCTTATGTGAGGCACTAACGGTGACGCTAGGAGGAAGAAGCTGGGACGCCGGAGGCACAAACGGCGGCGGAGAACCGACAGCAGTGGCTTTTTCTCAGTTCTCTCTTTGTTTCTGAGGTAATGTTAACGCATTGCGTTTATGAAGGTAGGGTGTTGTGGGTCCCACCCACTTTGCGGACCTATTGAAAAAAATATGTATTAGTTATTTTAATGAGTTCTGTGTTTGTCATTTTAAATGTCATAAGTTATGTTATCTTATGAGAGAGATAGACATAGAAAAGTAGAAATCATGGGAGAGAGAAAGTGAGTGGTTTTTTTAATTTAAAATTTAAATTTTCTTTGTCTGTATCTCTCTTAAAATGACATAATTTTCTGTCATTTAAAATGACAAATATTTTTTCCTATTTTAATTAAAACTAAAGTTATGATTATTTCATAAATAACTTTTCTACACACACAAAAAAGTATTGGGTCCTACCACTCTTTTTTCTCTCTCATCTTATTTGTGAGTTTCACTTATAATTTTATTTTTATAATATGAGATAAATCTTTTCTTATAACATAAGAAAAGTATTTCTCTTAAAATAATATTTTTATTTAACATCTCATTTAAAATAAATTACTCTTTTCCAGTATGATTTTAGCTTCTCTCACAGTAACTTTAATTAAAATATACATGTTATTAAAAGTACAAATACTTATCTCATTATTATTATTATTTTCATCCAAATTAGTTCTTGTAGTCTGTGGATATTTTTTGTTATATATAAAACCGTAATATTAAAATTTTAATTTATGTAAACTATTCAAAATTTTCACCCCTCGATAGTCTCAAATCTCAATGACTTTCTATCTACAGTACTGAAATATTTGTGGTACATCCGTCCTATTATGTACGGACACAGGACATGGGACACGACACACCGACACGTTAATTGTAAAAAATATCATATTTGGACACGTTGGGACACGTTTTAATCTTAAATAAAAATTTAATATATATAATATAATTTATATTTAATACATATAAGAGTCCATAATAAGTTATATAACCAATCAAATATTTAAATTTTATAACATAAATATAAATAAAAATAATTTTTCGTACTTTGTTAATTATTCATGTCAAATTTCATAATAGAAAAAAATTAATTTATACTTTTTTTATATTTAGTTAATAAAATAAAATTAAGATTAACAAATAAAAAAAACGTGTCCCAGCGTGTCCGAGCATTGACCGCGTGTCCAAAAAAACGTGTCGAAGAGTTGACCGCGTGTCCCCAAATATTGACTGTGTGTCGAACGCGTGTCAAAACGTGTCCGTGTCGGACAAAATTTTCAAACTTTTCGCGTGTCGGACAAAATTTTCAAACTTTTCGCGTGTCGATGCTTGCGAGCATCCGTCGCACGAGTAACTGAGTGCGACAGGTCACATTAAATGTGAATTTTTCTATGATATGTATGGAAAAGAGAGAATTTTTTTAATTCAATTGTTAATTTTTTAATGAAAGTCGAAGGTACACCAGTGGAGAAGTAAATAGGTTAGATTAGTCTAAGCTTTAATTTAAATAGGCTAAGCTTATGTAAAAACCCTTAGCACTGGTCTGGTCTTTTAGCCTGTGTATGCCCATATTACAAGTCTGGCTTGACTTGTATTTAAATAAAAACTTTGGCCTAGGCATATTAGCATGTTTAAGCCTATTAAACATTCAATAATTAAAAAATAACTAAAACAATATTATTTTATTATTTAAAATTATTAAAATAATAATTTTATTTATTTTATTTAACATAAATAATATGATATAGGCCGGCCAGTAGGCTTATACGCCCGACATGTATAAAAAAAACCTATAGCCTATTTTTTAAATAGATTTTTTTAAAAGTCTAGCTCTGTTCTATTTGACTATTTGTAATTGGTCAAATCTGACCTAATATAGACTAAGTCGTAAGTCCCTATAAGTCGGCTTAGCCCATTTACATCCATATACACCGGGTGTATCGAAAATATTCTCCTACTGTGGATATAATTGATTTCGAATTAAATAACATAGTGAGTAAATAATCAAATTGATCTTGAAATATATTTGATTTGTGGTAAATTTTGTTTTAAAGAAAACTTTATACTTCCAATATTTGACTAAAGTGAAGAATATATTTCTTATAAAGTATGTTAGAAATATTTATATTTAAAATTTAATAATTATGTGAATTTGGTTTTGTTTACTTGTTTATAATGATATTTACATATATTTTTTATTCTATATACAGAAAAGTATTCATAATTATTATCTTTAATTTTTTTTTTAAATTCTAACTGCATTTTAATTAAATTTTGATAACTTTTTTTTTCTTCGAGCCTATTTGGCACCTCTCTTTTTTAAAGCTAAGAGCTAAATTTAAACTAAAGCTAACAAAAAATTTAAAAATTAAAAATTAAAACTGTTTGTTGATTATATAAAGTTGTTATGATAGTTAGGATACCAAAAAATAAAGTTGTTACAATAATTTTGAAAAAGGGAAGATAAAATAACCTATTATTAAAATAAATAATTAGGGTAAATGTTAATATATATATATATATATATATATATATATATATATATATATATAAGTTTAGAATAAAGATAAAATTGTAAAATAAATAAAGATTAAAAATCTGAATATCTTTTTAAAAAAAAAAACTTCTCTAAAAGCTTTTAAAGCCTGTTTGGCATCTTTTTTTTAAGCTAAAAAGATAGCTTTATGTAAAAAAAATTAGCTTAAAAGCTGTTTATTATAATATATAACTTTATGATTACTTTAAAGTTACTTATACTATATAGCTTAAAAGTTACACATTTTAAAAAACGTTTGTACAACTTAAAAAAAAAACTCTTTCTCGGAGATTTTAAATTTTAACTTTTTTTTTTCATTAAAAAAAATCTTTTTATAATAAAAATTTTGTAAAACTCGTTTGACCTAATTTCTACTTATAAGAAGAAAAGAAACTAAAAAAAGACATTCCAAACAGACACTAAAAAATGTTCTATATCAACAAAAAAATCATTGACTATTTTACACACACAAAATATTTATTTATTATATTTTCTCGTAATTAAAAATATCAATTTATCTTGCGCTAAAATTATTAGTGTATAATATATATATATATATATATATATATATATATATATATATATATATAATACTAATAATAAAATTATAATACTACAAATATTTAGGACATTTTATTAATGAAATTTTCATAATAAAGAATGTATTCTTTGCTTTTTTCTCCCACCATTATTTTTTGTTTCTCTTAATATAAAACACAATAATTTTTACTTAAAATGACAAACATTAATCCTTTTAAATTATTCAAAATCAATGCACTTGATAAATGATAACTATTTCAAAAATTAAATATTTAAAAGATTAAAAAATGAAAAGTAAAAAATGGCATGAATAAAAGAAATAAAAAGTCAAAATTTTAAAAAAAGTTAAATAATTTAAAATTATCGTTTACCAATAGCGAAGGAACATATTTCAAATAACATGCTGAGAAATTTGAGGGACTGATTTGCCTAAAGCTTAGCCATGTAATGTAGATGATAATTTAGTTCACATTCGCATTAGTTTGTGATTAAAGTTCAGGTGTCAAATTAAAAAAAAATAAAAACATAGGTATCAAAATTATCAAAAAAATAAACAAAAATTATCAAAGTATGCATAACTCGTAATTCACGGAGTAGAATGCAAATCAGATGCAAGTTTTTAAAAAAATTCAATCAAATGTCCTCACATACAGATCATTCCATATTTCCATCCAAATTTACGTTCAAATTATGATTTTTGATTTCAACGCACACAATTAAAAATTAAATGCATATGAATTTTTTAAAAGTTTAACGATTAAAGTATACAAGTAAATTAAAAGATTTTTTTTAACTTTTTCCTTTGTTTGACGTGCATGATTGGATTCAATTTTTGTGCTGATTTTACCTTTTTCTTTTAAATAATTTGGAACCGATTTAATTCAGAATCGATTTGGACCCAAATCAGTGTGTCAAATTTAAAATTTTAATTTATATTACTGTGTTATTTCGAGTAATTTGGAATTTAATTCTTAAATCAATTCCATATGAAATTATTACTAAGGACTTACTCCATTATATATTCGGATATATTTTGTTTTTTATCCCTTGATGATATCATTATAATTTTAATCGTATTCATTGGAAATATATTCAAACATGATATGATTGGATTTGATGAGTTCTAAACATAAAAGTTAATTTAAAAATTAATTCAAATCATATTATTTTAATGAAGTCTAAATGTAGAAATTATTAAATCAAATCAATCAATTAATTTCATTTTTTTTAATGACTCTACACTCACTCACAATAACATAAAAGTTTTTATTTTTTTTATTAAAGTTTTACTATTCAATTTTTCTATTTAGCAAATTTCAGTTCTAAAAATATAAACTATTTAGTAAAATACAAGAATATGGATTCAAGTTTGTTTAAAATTATTAAAAATACGAAACTGAATTGATTATATTGTCAGCTGAAAAACAAAAGAAACAATAATATGTAATATACATTCAGTTTCTATATTTAGAAAATTTTAAATCCAATCATATAATATTTCTAGTCATTTGTATGTATATATAATCAACATCGTAATTGTAGCATCAAATCAATTCTTTTTGAATAAACATATTTTATTTATCAATCAAATCCCAAAAATTTCCTATTTTAAACGCATTTGTATGTTATAAAAGAAACCATCCCATCAAATTTTGTTTAGAGGGATCATATTGTAACCAAAGTAATCAGCAACAAACATGGCCAAGCTCTGCTCAGCATATGTCACTCTTCTCCTCTTGTTTACATCAGGTCTTACACACATTATCATTTACGTATAGAGCTTATAGGTTATATTCATAATATTGTGCATGAATATATAGACACAATGACTAACTTGTATAAATAAATTGTGTTAACTTATGGTATGTTGCATCATTGTTATCATAGGTGCCCTTATGGTTATGGTGGCTGGTGACATATGCAGGGATGATTTTGGGGTTTGCCAAGGTGATTGTAACACG